AGGATCTGATGAAGCAACAGTTTTCAACCTTTTCTCAGCAATGGCACACTTTTTGGGCAGCAAGATGTTGGCAGCACCCCTGCATATGCACCATTCTCCATGCATTTCAATGATTTCAAGACTAATTAAAACTCCACATTTTTGTAATTTCATTTCAATGCAATACCTGTAACTGCCTCTGTTTGTACAGAAAATCCAAATACAGTTCAATATATCACTTGTGTATCTCAGTCCACCCATAACCCCACACAGGTCATCTGTAATGTTTAAACAGGACCCGAACTTGCTTTGTTTTTTTATACATACCCAGAGGAAGAGAAAGAAGAGCAAGAGTTGGCAAGAGCAATCAGAATCTCTATTGAAGCAACAATTTTCATCTTTGAATTCTTCCTTGATAGATACTCTCATTATTAAGTTACATACTACTGGCATACAATTTTAATGAGTGTGTGCTGAAGTCAGAAATGTCATGCTTTGAAAGTGGTTCTTTAAAGAGGTTTGCTGCCCCATAAAATGCTCCAACATCACACCCATAAAAGAGTATTGCAGACATAAAAGTTCCCAAAACTCATGTCAGCCTTTTGCACCACCTCTGGGTACCATGGCACACAGGCTGAGAACTGCCATGATGAGACAAGGATAATATTTTTTTTGTGACATGGCTGTCTTAGGCTATGAGCTTGCCAGGTATTGGCCATGTTGACCTCATAGTATTGACCAAAATTTATTGTCAGTACATCTCTGATCCAAAGTAAAATTCATCTGATTTAATAATGATAATTGTATGCTATCTGTAGTACCATGGACTGTATACTGTGAGGGAATTAATTGTATACTTGTTTCAGATTCTTTTCCCTTTTTTTTTATCCTCACAAATTATTATATCTCAATCTTGCTGACTTTTTCCCATGTTGATGTTGGTAATACTTCTGCTTGTGCCAGACTGAGCATGGCTCCTCACTGTGAAATTTATGGAAAATGAACTGGATATTATTTTCCTAGACTCCAGTGTTTCTAAATGAACTGGATATTATTTTCCTAGACTCCAGTGTTTCTACATGAACTGGATATTATTTCGGATCTGAGGTCACAAAGATAGAACCACCCTTGCTCGAACTTCTTTAAGGTTGACTTTAACCTACGGAACGGCTTAACGCCCATGACCGTGACACACTTTTAGTCGAAGTTTCAGAAGGTAGGTGACTGTCCAATCTCCTAAAGCTGAGAACTCTTCTGCTTCATAAAAACAGCCTGACAACCCTCCCACCTGAGTTGATCAAGCTCAATAACCTTTCAGAGGTTTGGCAGTTTTTCATACCCTGATCTCTGACTCATTATGGATTACTGAAATATCTCATGTGAATGCTTTCTAGTTGAGCCTGAGAGACAATCCTTTGGTGGTGAGGTTTGTTCATGACATGGGCTATGACCCTCCATCCTTGTTGGAATTATCAGCCAGAGCTGTCAAGAACCATGGAACTCCATATGGAAAAGGCGATCTACCATGGACTCTTTTTGAATATCTGAACTCTGCTCAAAAATGTGTGAACCCACAGTGTGAAGGTCAGTCCTCCTTGTGTGTATTCTTGTTTGTCATATTCTCATATAGGCAGTTGTCTTTTTAAATATTAGAAATTTTGAAGATGCAAAGTCACCAATGGAAATTCAAAAGGTGCTTACAGCTGAGTCCAGGATTTGCTTCCATTTCAGGAGTCTACTTTGACACCAGAGTGGAACACATAAGATTTGTGGACTTTTGTGGGAAGTACCGCATCCCCCTTCTACAGTATCTCTGTTCACCCAAATGCACCAGCTCACCTTCTGGGTGCAACAATATGTCTGCCCATGCTTCCCGGCTCAAGAAGGTCCTCCTTGGTTAAATCCCTCTTCCTCTGTTGTGCTTCTCATCAGGAGCTATAGTCCAGCTGAAAGCAAGAGTCCTTTAGTAGATTGACTGAATATCTCATATTTCCGTGTTCTTGTTGACCACATAGTAGTCCCTGCAGATGCTTGTAACGTTCTATCCCATCCTAGAAAGTGAAGGTAAATATGGCATCAACAACCTTCATGAAAGCTCTCGTAGATGAGTCGCCCATGTTAGGTAGGATTTACTTCCACCCAAGCCAGATGTACATGGTAGGAAATTTTATCTAGTGTTTTTCACTTGATTCAGACATTCATGCATGAAGAGCACCTCGTTCACAGGTGTCTGAGTCAAGTGAAAAACGCTAAAATTTTGTGGAAGGTTCTAGGCTTAGAATGGCTTATAAGTAAAACTTCCATGGTATACTTTACTTCATCACTAAGTCTTCCTTCATGCACAAGGTTTTTTGGCTTTGCCAATTTTATGAAGACCTTATGACAGAAATCTCACCTTCACTTGGTCCCATTCATACATCTCAGTCCATATTTGAACCTAATTTGTGGAATAGACTGATAGGCCCTCATTTTCTAATTGGTAGAAATGAATCTCAGCTCTTCAGTGTGAGGGTCTTCATGTGATTATTGATTGTATTTCAAGAAATCTATAAACTTAATGCATCCCTATGAAGTTGTGATACATAGAGGTATAGAGAGCTACTTGTTTGTTTTCAAGCCTCTTGATGGCTTGAAAAATCTGAGATCTGCCTTTTTAATGTCTCCTGGCAGGTAGGGATGATTATTTTTTCATTTATAGCACTGATATTTGGTCAGTTTCTATCTTGTTCCTAATTCCAAACTTCTTGATGTACTATTTTTCCAAGAGCCTAAGTCATTTAATTCATTCATGCCCGGTGCTTGTTTGAATGTCAATGGACCTAACATTTGGGAGACTCCTATAGGAGGCACTTACTTTATCTCCTCATGGAGATTGCTGTATGAGGATTGTTTAGATGCATTTTCAAATTTACATGCAAGACATCATGGTGGTGATTTGTCCCTCTCCTTAGGCACATCACCCCAAACTGGTGGATATGTTTTCAGCTGATGTTCAACAGATTTAGTAGTCCTGTCTTTTTGCTGCAAACCTCCCACAAGAAAACTGTCTTCTTTCTGGATGTGCTAAGTCTCATCATTAGGGCATCATTACAAATCTTTCACCTAAGAGGATTCTAGTTGCATGGAGTCTTTTGGGAAAAAGGGTTGCCTCCCTCCACCTTTAATCAGCTTTCTCAAGTCAACCAGCATGATGTCTTCAAATTTTTTGAACAATCCTTGTATAATACACTGCTTAAATAGTGTTTTGTATATTCCTTTTACATTGCTGAGGCATACACAACATACTTCATGAGGGATGAAGCAAAGTGCAATATTTCTTATGATTCTTTGACAAATAAATAATTGATTCAGTAGTGCATTGTCTTTGTATTCTTTCCTTGGACCAGAAATGAAACACACACCATCATAAAAGACACAAATTTATGTTCTGTTGGTTCTCAGTGCTTGGCATAGCCTTCTCATGAGATAGGGAGACAATATTCCCTCTGCAGAAAAGCCATTGTGAAAAGAATACAGCAGGATTTGAAGGAGAACGTGGACGCTACAGTATGAGCTCAGAATCGAGACTACAGGTTTGACTCTCACCAGATGTGCCTGCACATCAACACACCCCTAGCTTGTCCTGTGTGCTCTCTAAACTTGGAAGAGTGAAGTTTCCAGCCAGGTTGCTTTTGGTCACAGTGGCCCTAGAGAATGGCATCTTTATTGCACTTCCACTCATATTGATCCCTAAGATGATGGGGAACAAAACTCATGAAGATTTTTCAGAAGACCACATGAGTTCTATGGTATGTTCATTGTTGCTATTAGAGATGGTGATCTGCAGCTGGCTAAATAATATATCGATCATGATATCTGAACAGGCACAAAGATTGCAGATGTGAGAGGAGAGAGAAACAGCAAATGAGAGAATGAGGGAACAAGTAGAAGATATCACAATGATCGAAGGGATTTTCTGACTACTTTCCATCCCCATCACTACAGTAAGGAAGAAGTCAACTCAAGACATTGGATATGTCAATTGGTCGTCATTCCATAGAACCTCATATTCTTTCCTCTAAGTGGATGTTGAAACAACAAAAAAATGAAACAACAAAACTAAATGTGTGGATATAGATGGATGTCAGAGGTATTTGACCTGCCAGCTGGAAGCAGACTACAAGGGTGGGCAGAGCAATAGTCAGACTTCAATAATATTCAACTGAGTGACTCTGATCCTTCAGCTGTCTTTCTTGCAATGCATGACGGCCATCAGAATATTAAAACTGTTGTTGCTTGGTGCATGCACTTGCTGCATCTCCCTCTCATGCACGTACACTCACTCAGACATGCACATTGGACACATATCTTCCTTTCCCTCCCTTTTTTGCTGTCTAACAAAGTGTCAAAATGCTTCTTGCTCAGATTGGGATAAAAAGAGAGGCCACGGACATGCAAACACACGCACTATGCAGAGGGAGTCATAGGTGCATCTTGTCCACCTCCACCACCACCGCTGCCGCCAACTGCAACTGCAGCGCCACTGCCGCTGCTGCTGCCGCCACCGCTGCCGCCGCCACCTCCACCACTACCACCACTTCCTGCAGCTTCAGAGGTGGCTGTGGAACTTGATGTCCCCTCTGCATTTGAACTTTCGCCAGCATGCACACGATCAGAGCTGGGATTGCTTGTCAGCAAAAGCTGACATGCTCTAGGTAGGCTTCCTCTTGCGTGCTCTGGCATTAGCTTCAAATTAAGACTTGGCTCAATTCTCAGCTCTGAAAAAAAAAGTTAAGACCCAATCAGAACCAATAGAAGGTTTTATGTTTCCACTATCAAAATATATCATGAAATGGTGAAAACCTTTTTCATCATCAATTTTCTTACAACAATCAATAGCAATCAAGATATTACCATGCTCAGTAAAGTTGAAGAGAGGGGGGAGTTCTCTGCCACTAGGCAGGCGAGTATTGACTTCTCGCAACTCATCAAAGAAGGGATGAGCACAGGCTCGGAGGGGTGTGAGGCGAGCTGATGGGGTGTACTCCAGAAGCTTTGATACCAAATCAATTGCCTCAGGAGGTGTACGAGCCCTGAACACCTGCACAATAGATAGCAAGATTAGCAAAGCCAAAAGTGAGAGTGCAAACTATACTCTTCTGGCCAATCACTTGGTTATAATTATTGGTAATTAGAGAAATCAGAAAATGGCTGGCATAACTTCACAGGTTCCTGCATATGAGTGACTAGACAAATATGAATTATTTTTGCTTCTTGCAATTCCTGAAGACCATAAAAAGTCCATAGTTTCACAGCATGATATTGGCTTCTGCAATGGTACATTGTAGGTTTCATTGGACTAGAAAAACGGTCACCATCAGAATGTTAACTATCACCACAAACAGAAATTTCCTAGAGATTCCATAACAATATATAAGCCAGTATTAGTACTTATCCTATGCCTGAACTGCAAATGCACACTAACAGCATATCCAAGAATAGAAGACATGGGAAAAAGAGATGATTCAGTCATCATGTTCTTTAAAGGTTAGTCCCAAGAGAACTTCAAGCCTTGATTAGTTTGACCTACTGAAAATTAGTCATAAAAATGAAAGCAGGTTATGCAGTACATGCATTGGTAATCTTGAAAAACTCACGCGCTTCAAGGCCTGTCTCACTTTAACCAAAGACGCCTCTTTACTGGCTAAGGAAGTCGTTTCCAGCAGGTGCTGAAAGACAAGTCATAAAATAAATTTTAAAATTGCCATTTAATTCATGTGGACATCATGTATCACTTCTCAAAATATTAGCTTTAACTTTTAATTGAATGCAAACAAGTTATTCAAGTCTTTCAGCATCATTCTGCCTGAACGATTCCATAAACTGTCACTAAAGTAAGCTGAGAAACTATACTAAATTCATGACATGACAGTAGGTATTTAAAAAAAACTTACTTCAAACTGCTTTAAAACAGGAGAGGGACAGTCATAATGTCTGATTTTGACAAGGACACGAGTTAAAAATTCATTCTGTCGAGTCTAACTTTTAACTCCATTCAGGGGGGATAATGTTCAGAAAACCAAGTGTAATCATTCTAAAGAAGATTACTTCCATGAAGGTGCTACCATATGCTAGGCAAGATGGAGCTCTGTCTCACTTCTCTAGAAAGAACTGAGAGCATATATGGAATGATGAAAGTCCCAAACAGCTTAGCTTATCTTTATAATTTCTTTCACGATTACAGAGCTGCATCGTCACACGTCTCCAGACTTCAGAGAAGACGTCGGTCGTTTATAGGAGTGGACTACGTATAATACCCCAAGACTTTCGACTCAACACGTGAGTAAAAGAGGTACACTTCTTTCCGTATTATTTTGAGATTCTTTATAATGGATTGAATTTACAAGTTACACTTTTAAAATTGTATATAATAAGTTACTTGCTTTCCTTCCCTGACTATAAAAAGCACGGCATTCTAATTTTGTTAGCAGGAAGCATGCATCCCACTTAAGTGCTTGGATGCTGGCAGCTGCATTTGAGAAATTTGGCTTGGTTATGCTTTACATATCTGCATGAAGTATCTTGTTTATGTGATCAATGTAATCAAAGCCATGTCTTTTTTTTATCATCTAGAGTAAATGACAGCAATTAATTGTTCTGCACTGAAAAGATGAACTGAATAGGATATTGAAAATTTTCTCTTACTTTCTGCCATGGGTGAGCTTTGATCTGAGGGAACTTGAACTCTGAGTAATTGCGATTCATCTCATAGATTTGCTCTCGAGTAGGTGTCCCCAGGACTTTTATGATTTCTACCAACTGGTCAACTCCAGAGTCCCCAGGAAAAATTGGCTGACCCAAGAGGAGTTCCGCCAACACACATCCACCGCTCCATACATCTAGAGAAGAAATTATTCATAAGATTTATAATCATCAGCCAATAAGACAAACAATCAGGGCTACATATTGTAATAAAGCCATGACCTTAATAAACAATTTTGTACAGAATGCAATGAACTCAAAGGAAAACATTGGAATGCAACTCAACCATAATTACATATACAGGGGGGGAAAATATTTTTTCACCCATTTCATTAGAGTGCTACATGCTCGTACATACCAAATTAACCCTTTAAATCTTATGCCAGGATGGCTTCCTAGATTGTATCTTCCCAAGCCCAGTATTTTCTTTCCTAGGGACAGTCTAGTCTATGGAGATAAGCAAGTAGGCTAAATAAGGCAGTAGATATAGAATATTGTGGGGGAAAAAAGGCAAGTCTTTGCATAATTTGGCACAGCAGTCAGGACCCCAGAAAAACATAGGATGAGAATTTGGGGTCATCTTAATCCTAACTTTATTTATGGTTCCTGATATCTTAAAAAAAAAAATTGTGAAAAAATAAATCAATTACCTCTGTATTACATGTCAATACCAGGTGGCCCCAAAAAAAGTCCAGAACTTCAGAAGAACTGCAGAAGAGATACCATGCTAAGCATCATCTTGAAATGTTCAGTGTGTCATGCCCAGTATATGTAGGTGGTTTTAGGAAAATTTCAATGAAATCCCTCTCCCTGAACACAAGTAAGAGCTCTTTCTGTACAAATGAGGAAGTGTGTAAGTGCTTTTGCCAGCATGCTATCTCAGTCTGTGATCCAAGGAGGACCACTTAAGCAGTTCTTTAATTGAGTTCAGGCAGGTTTCTTTGCACACTTGCTCTTATGACATCACATGGGGGGAAAATTTTCATCCACATAGTTTTCAACCAATTTCAATGAAATTTTTGTCATTTTGCCTCCAAACATTGCTTGTAAAATTCTGTAAATTTCCTGTTGATAACTCATATGGTACACCATCTGCAGGCATGTAAAGTTTGGGACATATTTTTTGGGCCACCCAGTATATATAATAATGTATATATCAATAGAATTGTATTTTTTTTTCCACTGGTACAGTAAAAAAAAATACTTGCATAAGAGCTGCTTGTCATATTTCTTTGAATAAAAGTGCATTAGAGCAGGAGAGGAGTAGTATACCAAACCAACTTGATTCTGAGTCATGTATGAGGAAGGGAAAGCCTTCTTTACAGATGGGATGAGCATGAATGAGCATTCTCCTTCGAGGAATTCTTGTTCAGACAGGGGGGGAAGAGAGGAAGAGGGAGATAGAGGAAGAGAGAGATAAGAAACCAGACAGTGAACCAAATGTCCCCCTTCTTTCCACCACATGGAAAGAAGACTTATGCAGGGTTGACTCTCATCAATGGCCTGTCCATAACAAAGCATTAGAGCAAGTTCTTGCTTTGGCATGAACAAAAGGGCATTATCCAAGGAAAATAAGCACAATGCCTCCTAGATGGCTCATCAAATGGAGAGAAACATCAAGTGGAACCTCCTCATCAATGCCAGGACACAAGGAAATTTGGCTTGCATGTGCACAAGGTTTATGAATTGTTGGATCTCTGTCCATCAACAGCAAAAAGATACTATCATCAATTTCAATACGATGAGGAGAAGGCTGAATGGTCTCTAATCAATAAAGGATGCATCTACCAAGTTCACACCCAGTGAGGCCAGAACATGAATCTTATTGCAGTGATTTCTCCCATACATGGCCTAATCCATTTGAAGAATCTGTCTAGAGGTCTCACTAGAGAAATCGATGGACACTTTCTCAATGAAATGNGCAGTGTGCAGAGGTCTGAAGTCTCTTCTGCAGCCAGCAAATATCCTCACCTGATGCATATTATGGGGTTCTGAAAGCTGAGTTGTGCACTCATTTTCTCCATGTGAAGAAAGGCATAATAAAACTCTCTTTATAACAGATTGAATTTGCAAGTTACACTTTTAAAATTGTATATAATGAGTTACTTGCTTTCCTTCCCTGACTATAAAAAGCACAGCATTCTAATTTTGTTAGCAGGAAGCATGCATCCTACTTAAGTGCTTGGATGCTGGCAGCTGCATTTGAGAAATTTGGCTTGGTTATGCTTTACATATCTGCATGAAGTATCTTGTTTATGTGATCAATGTAATCAAAGCCATGTCTTTTTTTATCATCTAGAGTAAATGACAGCAATTAATTGTTCTGCATCATTCTGTTCTGCACTGAAAAGATGAACTGAATAGGATATTGAACATTTTCTCTTACTTTCTGCCATGGGTGAGCTTTGATCTGAGGGAACTTGAACTCTGAGTAATTGCGATTCATCTCATAGATTTGCTCTCGAGTAGGTGTCCCCAGGACTTTTATGATTTCTACCAACTGGTCAACTCCAGAGTCCCCAGGAAAAATTGGCTGACCCAAGAGGAGTTCTGCCAACACACATCCACCGCTCCATACATCTAGAGAAGAAATTATTCATAAGATTTATAATCATCAGCCAATCAGACATACAATCAGGGCTACATATTGTAATAAAGCCATGACCTTAATAAACAATTTTGTACAGAATGCAATGAACTCAAAGGAAAACATTGGAATGCAACTCAACCATAATTACATATACAGGGGGGAAAAATATTTTTTCACCCATTTCATTGGAGTGCCATACCAAATTAACCCTTTAAATCTTATGCCTGAGTATACTCAGGATGGCTTCCTAGATTGTATCTTCCCAAGCCCAGTATTTTCTTTCCTAGGGACAGTCTAGTCTATGGAGGTAAGCAAGTAGGCTAAATAAGGCAGTAGGTATAGAATATTGTGGGGGAAAAAAGGCAAGTCTTTGCATAATTTGGCACAGCAGTCAGGACCCAAGAAAAACATAGGATGAGAATTAGGGGTAATCTTAATCCTAACTTTATTTATGGTTCCTGATATCTATACTTAAAAAAAAAATTGTGAAAAAATAAACCAATTACCTCTGTATTACATGTCAATACCAGGTGGCCCCCAAAAAAGTCCAGAACTTTGTGTGTCTGCAGAAGAGATACCATGCTAAGCATCATCTTGAAATGTTCAGTGTGTCATGCCCAGTATATGTAGGTGGTTTTAGGAAAATTTCAATGAAATCCCTCTCTCTGAACACAAGAGCTCTTTCTATACAAATGAGGAAGTGTGTAAGTGCTTTTGCTGGCATGCTATCTCAGTCTGTGATCCGAGGACCACTTAAGCAGTTCTTTAATTGAGTTCAGGCAGGTTTCTTTGCACACTTGCTCTTATGACATCACATGGGGGGAAAATTTTCATCCACGTAGTTTACAACCAATTTCAATGAAATTTTTGTCACATTGCCTCCAAACATTGCTTGTAAAATTCTGTAAATTTCCTGTTGATAACTCATATGGTACACCATCTGCAGGCACGTAAAGTTTGGGACATATTTTTTGGGCCACCCAGTATATATAATAATGTATATATCAATAGAATTGTATTTTTTTTCCACTGGTACAGTAAAAAAAATACTTGCATAAGAGCTGCTTGTCATATTTCTTTGAATAAAAGTGCATTAGAGCAGGAGAGGAGTAGTATACCAAACCAACTTGATTCTGAGTCATGTATGAGGAAGGGAAAGCCTTCTTGACAGATGGGATGAGCATGAATGAGCATTCTCCTTCAAGGAATTCTTGTTCAGACAGGGGGGGAAGAGAGGAAGAGGGAGATAGAGGAAGAGAGAGATAAGAAACCAGACAGTGAACCAAATGTCCCCCTTCTTTCCACCACATGGAAAGAAGACTTATGCAGGGTTGACTCTCATCAATGGCCTGTCCATAACAAAGCATTAGAGCAAGTTCTTGCTTTGGCATGAACAAAAGGGCATTATCCAAGGAAAATAAGCACAATGCCTCCTAGATGGCTCATCAAATGGAGAGAAACATCAAGTGGAACCTCCTCATCAATGCCAGGACACAAGGAAATTTGGCTTGCATGTGCACAAGGTTTATGAATTGTTGGATCTCTGTCCATCAACAGCAAAAAGATACTATCATCAATTTCAATACGATGAGGAGAAGGCTGAATGGTCTCTAATCAATAAAGGATGCATCTACCAAGTTCACATCCAGTGAGGCCAGAACATGAATCTTATTGCAGTGATTTCTCCCATACATGGCCTAATCCATTTGAAGAATCTGTATAGAGGTCTCACTAGAGAAATCGATGGACACTTTCTCAATGAAATGAGTGCCATGATAGGGATAGATAATGAAGCTATCTTCATTGCAGACAACTGTATGATTCCCTGAATATTAATTCTGATAACCATTCCATGAAATCAAATTCCTTCCATCACAGAGTTCCTACTTGAACCCCAGTCAATTAACTTTCTCTTCATTCAAAGCAGAGGTCAAGAGACAGCTGGGTTCTCTGTCAGCTTCCATTGCAGATAGAGACTGAGCTGCTGCACAAGGTGTGCCTCTGTCACAATATCACATAAACATTCTTGGGCAAATTGTGGATGATGCAATTGAGAAAGTCCACACAGTTTATGCTGCAGGGCATATCAACATTCCTACAATTACATAAACAGCTCAATGGAGAGAAAAGTCATTTCTGAATGAAGTAATTATTTTCCATGCTGAGGAAGGTGTCAAAGGACCTTTTGTCACTGTCTGGCTTGTCTCTCTTTCCTTCCTATCCTGTCTAGACATGAATTCCTTGTGGGGGGTGCTTATTCCATCCATAAAGGAGGCTTTCCCTCCCACATATGTGGGCTCAGAATCAAGTTAGTTTGGTATATTCACCCTCCAAATGGCATGAGTGCTTAATTAAAATAGGTGTAGCAATGAAATTGGAAAATGAACTTTTCTTCACCTACCCTGTTATGGCCAGGCCTGTTTCTAAATGGTTTAATTTTCTTACTGGCTTGGCCATGACTGAAAAACCAAATTTTACAAGTCCTACTTCCATCAGACTTCAGCTAATGAACTTGACACAAATATTATAGTTGTTTCTTTTTTCCAAAGAATTTGGAATGTAGCATTCCAGCAATGTTATCTGTACCAGAAGGTAATATAATAAATGCATAGAGATGCAACTGTAATAACCTAGGTATTGTATGCTGACAGTTGGAGCAAGTAGAACTTTTTTTTTGCAATCAAAACCATAAATATACAAGAAACACTCTAAAATCACAATCCTCTGACACCATACCAGTACAGAATGCCCCAGGAATATAAATTCCAAATTCATAGTTCCAGAAAGATTCAATTTAGATCAATATCATTCTGCAAAAGATATTAGTTTTTCTACATCATTTTATTTAGGATATTCAATCAACATAACCATCAGCAAAAATAAGAACCAGAGAATTTGGCAATTCTTAGTAATAATTAGTCAATCTTCATATCACTAATCATTACTTTCAACCTGCCAAGCTATTATCAGTTCAAATTTCAGCAAACATTTTTTTAAAATCTCTTTCAGTTTCATAAAATAAAATGGCAATTTAAAATTTCTCAAACTTTTTCTTCAGTTGACTAAATGATGTGCATTAAATATTCAAACACCAGCAATTCTTTAAATGAGATTATTCTGGGACATGTTGTGGGTCCAGATAGGCTTGCAAAAGAGAGCACCCTTCAAACTCCTTATGCTGCAGGCATCCCTACAAAACATTTGACTTTACACAAAACAATTTTCCTGCTCTTTGTACAGACTATATCATAAGTCCACCCTGTTGCCACCTTATATGACACACAAGTGTCTTCCAGAATGTGCTTTTTTTCCCTCTTTCCATAAAAATGATGAAAAGGTTGCCCCTATATGACCTCATATTTCTTACATATGGCAGTGTGGTACTGATATAATAACATGCAATTAATGCAATCATGTGTACTTGTTTGCATACATTGTGAAATTCAATCGTCAAGTAGCTCTTCAAAAAGTAACCCTTAACACATTGGTCGCCAAGTACAAGATATCTTGTACTATATTTCCATATGTCAGATGTCTAGTATGAGATATCTCTGATTTCTAACATTGCATGATGGAGTACTGGATATTACTAATTGCTTTCACATTTTTTCGAATATCTGTGACTGAGTAAAAAATATGAAAGATTGGATATGAATAATTTATTTACTTTTTTTTCACATTTCTATGGTGTATGAATCAATGTGTTAAATCTATTTTAAAGCAAAGAACTAAGATACTAATGTTATATAAGAGCACATAACTGCAAGGCTTGATCCAGTTGTTTTCCAAAGTATTTTCATCCGTGAATGTTCCTATGCATTCTTTGCAGTGTAAAGTGTTAAAGCCCCACCAGAACCATCAGAATAAAAACAAACAAGATATACAATATATTCACTTTGGGAAAAAAAACGCTCTGCCAGAAAGAAAATGAAAGTTGGATTTCAGACCATGAAAATGAATCGTTTTGGGCCCTAACAAACCCATCTTCTTTTGATAAGTGCTCTGGGATGTACACAAAGTTTCCAAAAGTACCATACTTGTTACACAGCATATTTGCAAAACCAGGGACTTAATGAAACTGGCAGAATAAAACTCAGTCAGGGAGATTCACATAGCACTTGGATCAAAGTTTGGAACCACTTTTCTTTGGGCCACTGTCTGTAAGTAGCAAATGTCATGTTTGATTATGCTATCTCAACGTACCAATTTGCGTGGTGTAGTCTGTAGCACCGAAGATGAGTTCAGGGGCTCGGTAATAACGGGAGCAGATATAGGAGACATTTGGTTCCCCACGAACAAGGTGCTTGGCGCTCCCAAAATCACACAGCTTGAGAACCCCAGTCTCAGGGTCAAGTAAGAGGTTCTGGGGCTTGATATCTCGATGGCAAATGCCCAACGAATGAATGTATGCCAAACTCCTCATCAGCTGATACATGTACAACTGTAAAATAGAGGATGCTGAAGTTGAATCAGGAAATTACAGTTCAACAGTTAGTCAATTATGCATTAATTTTTCCAGACTGCTTCCACAACCATAAAGATTTGAAAATGCCAAGCTCACCTTGATGAAGCTGATGGGGATGGTTTGCTTGTTCTTGCTATGATGCCTAGCAACCCTGTACACTGTTTCAGGGATGTACTCCAACACAAGATTCAGGTATACCTCATCTTTCTGTTGAAAGGTGAAAAGTTCTCTGTAATGCATGACTTGGGGACACAGTACCACCACTTGTACATAGAAAAATGTACTGATGTTTATGCCTATAACCTATAGGTCCTATGGTCCAGCAGTTGATGAAAAGTAGACACCAGGGCTAAACTTCAAAATCTTATGCTATCATACAGTTCACCTCCTGAGATGAAGAGCAGCTGTTGAATTCCTACCTTTTCACCACTGGAATAGAAGAAATACTTCAGCTTGACTATGTTTTGATGATCTAATCTTCTCATAATCTGAAGTTCACGGTTCTGCATGAAATAAACGAAGACGACAACATTTCATCATTATTCAGTCAAGTTCATATATGATTCTCAGAACTTGGTTCGAGACCATCAGATGAGAAACTGGTAAGGGAAGAGATATAAAAAATGAGGGAGGGAAAAATACGGACCTTAAACCTCTTGTCTTGGAGCACCTTCTTGATGGCGACCAATTCGCCGGTGTCGCATAACTTGGCCTGATACACAACCCCAAAACTTCCATTCCCAATGACTTTGGTATCTGTGTAGGAAACTTCCTGCGGACGATCTGATCCCTGGCCTGGAGTAGCCACCACTGTCGTGATTCGATTCCCATCTCGACCTGGATGAGCGAAATTGCTTGTCAGAAGATAGGACTCCGCCTGGACTGATATGACCAGTCACAGTCGTACGCCGAGATAGACGAAAAACCGAAACACTCGAATGTTAGGACGCGAGACTCACTGAGTTCTTTTTCGGAATGCAAAAAACCTCGAAGCCTTTTCATGAAAGGAGAAATGTCCAACTAATCGAGCCAGGCATTGGCCGAGTCCCTCTAGCTCGTTTCCTGTTGCATGCGACACACATCGAAAACCAGGTGATCGCTTTTCTGATTTTCCTCCCCACACGAAGGCAAAGACTGCGAGCGAAACGTGATAAGGGCACGTGAGGATGTCATCCAAGGATATGGGAGGGGAGGCTCATAATACGTACGAGTCTCGGAATTATCACCCCACTGCACTGGTCCAAGTTTAGACCATATTGGAGTGGGGCGAAGTACGTCAGAGAGAGCGCATAGCAACACGGAACGCCTTCACATGCACTCGCACTTGCAGGGATGGGCCAGGTCTATCGGTTTCAGGTAGCTTCAAGTCAAGGAAGGGAGCGAGACATCGCCTCACTTCACCCCATCAGAATGGTCCCAGTCTAGCCCCGTTTCATGGGTACTGCGCGCCCCAAGGAGGCCGAAGCGATAGGTCCAAACACCCAGGCTTAACGACGCTCCACTTGACTCCGTCTCCCCCTCCCTCTTTTCTCCTCCTTTCCTCTCAATCACCTGTGCCAAGCTGAATGAAAACGTTGACGCCGGCGCGGAGCACCAACGCGCTCCTCTGATTCCCCCCCCTTCTTTCGGGGACGACTCGCGATTTCTTCCCGGATCTCGGCCTCACAAGACAAATAAACGGGATGTGAGTTGGCAACAACGTGTATACAAACTCAAGGAATGAGGTTGATGAGGTAAAATTAGCTGCAAAGAGAGAGGTTACGAAGAGAGGAAGTCCCATTCGCCATGAAGCATAAAGGAAAGGGAATGAAATGAGGGGGGGTTAACTCTTATGGTCTGTGAGCGACAAGCACGCGACATGAAGAGCAAAGCCCAGCCGGGATCTAAATGCATTAGGCCTATGGTATAGGCCATAAGGATGATTTCCGTGAGATTTTCAGCAGATCGTAATGAGGTGAGATCGATGAGAAGAAAGCCGAACCCACCGATCGGATTCCAGCCCTGCCCTGCAATCACGTTCCTCGGCCCGGCCTGCTGTTCCCGGCTTCGAGCCCCTTCAAAGCTACATGGTATCACGGAGTATCAGGAACGGAGGAAATTAGAGATCGAATGGGGATGAAAGCTGACGGAACGATAGAAAGAAAGCAAGAGAGGACGCTAAGAGCGGGAGAGAGAGCCATAACGAAGGAGAAGGAAGGCGGCGACGATCGATGGCGCATCGGCCATCAGCATAGGTTTGTCCCCTGAAAAGTCACAAGGACGGGAACCCACCTGGGCAAGGTAGCGCAAATGTAGATAAAACAACGATAAAGCAAAGACCCTCCTTCTCCCCCACGTCCCTCTCTCGTCCGGAACTTGACGCGAATCACGAACGGAAACTCGCTACCTGGGACCGTAAATGTTGGTTCGGGAAAAGGACCACGGATTCTCAACGTGGACATGGGATCTTTCTCAAACACCATCGTTGTGTACATTTCATGGAAATGTACACAACGATGGTAATGTAAGCCTTCTCTCCTTTCAGAAATGAAACTCCAGCATAATGTACACGGCCTCAATACGAGGCGCTCGGTCATTAATATATCACCACGAACGTGATAAAAAAAAAGTCGAGTATTAAAAACCCCAGCAGATTTCTACTTTCAACTTCTGACGTGAGGGGGGAAGATGCCTCGTTTGCGCTATGCCAAGCTAAAGGTGCAAAGTAAATGTTAAATGCTTCTGCCGGGGGTCACCATCATCGACTGGAGTCAAGGAAACACTTGGAAGACGAACTAGTCTCAAGAAGCTGCTTCGATAATGACTTGCAATAAATTGCTCACAAACGTCGGTTTTGTTCCCTTTCATCAGCATATTTTGGGGTCAAAATACCCACACAGCAAAGATCTAGGTTCTTTCTTCAATGGCACCTTCATTTCCAAATTCAAGACTGCTTTGCATTAACTGGTAGTAAAACTGACCGGCCTAGTAGAAGCACATCCTGTGATTTTTATAGCACTCATGATTTCAAGGACGACATGAAGGAACTTACTGCTAATGCGAACACCGGAGAGGTTGTTTCCAGCAGCTCCTCCTGCTGGCTGAGAAGTCCGACCGCCGTTGCCCGACACATCGGCAAAGGAGGTAGTCCGAGCCCGTCCACTCATTCCCAATCAACTTTGCGGCCAATCCATTCCTCTGTCATTCAGATAAACCAGTACCACTCAAGCCTAATTCTTTCAAAGCACACTATGTCACCATCCATCCATCCACTAGCACCAGGAAATACCTGCTTCAAGTAGACACGAATAGGAATCATTCTTAAGATTCAAAATGGAAAAAAAAATCAAAGCACCTAATTTTTATTCGGAAATGAGACCAAGCAAAATTCATAATAGCCTTCTATTTGGATAAATAGCGGGTACATTACTAACAAAAAAAAAAGGAAAGTGCTGTTGAAACATGAGTGGTAATTGCAACCAATTTTGTGGCCTTGCCCAAAACCTTTCAATGGTGAAACTTTCAATTCCCAGAACCTTCAGCAATGAAGTAGATTCAGCCTTGACCTGACATCCCTGTCATTGATCGTCTTTCGCCTGCTTTAATATTTTACTTTAAGAGGATCGATGCAGGTTAATCAATAAACAGGAGAGATTATACATTCCTATACATAACAGCATGGAAACCACTCTTCAACAGTTCGGAAAACGTTCCTTCCATGACTGAACATGAACAAATGCACCAAATCGAAAGTAGTCCATTTGCCACCTGTCAGCAGGCATACATTTTCCAACATCAAATACAGACTTTTCTTAAAGAAAAAAAAAAGAGGCAAATGGCGAGAGCAGACACATTCATCTTCAAATAGGCCTACCATTATAGCGTTTTCAAAGGTAGCCTAGTAAGCACAAAATGATATTTTGACACGCTAACATGCCCTTTAATACTGACTACAATGGGAGCATTTTCAGTCAAGACCAATGAATTTCCCCTTCAAGGATAAGGTATCATCTCAATATCAATGTTGTTGTGAATCATCACATTAATGCATGCATTTTTATATCAAGTCGAGGAAACTCAATTAAGAATACACTTTATAATGTGTTATGTTGGAAAAAAAACTTCAACCAGTGGATCTGTTCCAAATTAGCCATTCCATTTATGGCATTTCTGCCCATCATGACAGCAACAAGGCCCTATGTGTGCACCCCTGCTTCCTGGAGTACCATATTTTGAATACTAAAGTAAGAAACATTTATTTACATTTAGTGGGTAAATATGCCCTGAAACACAGCTCACTCCTTGCCTTCTGAAAAATTCAGGCCCATAAGTACTGTCAGGTTTTTAAATACCCTGTCCCCAAGAGGTATATACAAATTTTTTTAAATAGTTGTGAGTATACTGCCATATCTCAAGTAGGATCCACTTTCAAGTGGATTTTAAAAGACAAATTGAATTGGGAACAAGAGCAATGAAAATGATCAATGCAATTGAATAAGCATGAGAGGTAACTTGGAAAGTCTTCAGAAGGGGACATGGCTTGGGGAGAGCAATGTCAGAGACACAATGTCATGAAGGAGCAAGGAAAGTCTTGGCAAGTTTTGAATGATATTCAATTATGTATCAATGTCATGTCCTGACATGATGTGATGCCATTTACAGATGAGATGGGAACAAAGAAAGGAATAGGCGTTACTGTGCATACATCCATGGGAAATGCTGAGATTACAAGAGGAGGCCAACCATAAGCAACTTCTGAAAACTATGAAAAAAAGAGTGCTGTACCAAATTAACTGCTGGTCAATGTCTGACATTCCTGGAAGTGAAGCTAAATTTTCAGCTTTGGCACAAAGTGGAAGGTTGGATTTGACAAGTAATCATTGCAGGGAATGAAGGCCTAGTGTGCTCCCTTGATGAATATCAGTTTCTTACTTCTCCACCTGTTTGTGCCTTTATCCTGAGAGACACCATTGATAAAATTGACAGACAATTGAGGGGATTCTTTTTTTCAAAGAGGACATCATGCCTTACTTGATAATGCTGATTGCCAGGAGAAAAGGATACAGTGAGGTGATATTGATTTAAAGGCACAACATCTAATCATGAAGAGTATGGTGATTAAGATTCTACCTTAATAATTAGTTGCTTAAAATAAAAATTGGGCTATTTCAAAAGAAATTTAACTCTCAGTGATGGCTGTTGGACTGGATCACCAGTTTTCATGAGTGTCATGAAATCACAGTGCATCATGAGCTTTAAGGTTAGCTAAGATTGAGAAATGGTTATTACCTTAGTGTCAAAGTAGTCAAAGGTGGATGGTAGAAGCCTCTTGATGGAGAAGAGTGATCCTGATCAAGAGGTCTTCATTTAGAGGAAAGGGACAATTTATTAATTCATTAAGAACAGGAATTTAATTAGTACCTCAAGGGCACTCACCTGGATTGTGTGAGCATACACAATTTACTTTTGATGGGATGGTTGATCTTGTACAGAGCTCCAAAAATTATGAAAAAAATTGAGAGCTTTTTGTGCAACAAATATCATCACCATCCTTGATGTGGTTGACTTAATCCTCTTTCAAGAGTATTTTGGAGAATTGTTATCATCCTATAACCTCCATCAGGTAGCTAACCTAATGAAGCCTTTATTGGCCCTACAAGGCTCCTGACTGAAATGAATCCCAAGCAAGATGCATGGAAATAGTTACACAATCAACACCTTCTTGTGATGGTGCATCCATAGCACATTGGATTAACATTTTTGTGCCATCTAATCTGCAGAGTCAATCAGATTGATGCAACGAATTTTGCTTAAAAATGCCAGAGTCAAAGAGTTGGCACTAAATAAGTTAAAGTGAGAGGATAAACACAATCAAATATTCTGGCATTTTTAAGCAAAATTCATAGCATCGATCTAATTGACTCTGGTGCTATAAGGGTTTACATATAGAAGAGTGATACATGGGTTATACCGGAACCAGATGGCAGTGGTGAGATGTGAAGAGTCAGAAGGAAGCAAATATAAAGAAAGGAGTACGGCAAGGATGTTCACTGTCACCTCTGTTTTTCAACGTATACATAGAAGAGGCATTGAACGAACTCAG